CCAAATATGACCAATACATATCCCACGTCCAGTTCCCTCATGATGCTATAGGAGTGCTCCTCAGGGGATGACATTGCCTGTATAAGGATAGGTCATGTGATCAGGAGTGGGTGTGGTTTACCTGTCCCACTCTAGATATGTGTGTGTTGTTCCAAGTGTTGTTATCAACTAGTATCGTCCTGTTGGCCATTGCCGTGATCTGATACCCATAATCCCACCAGGACATCACCTGTTCATCAATAATAGTAATAATAATAATAATAATAATACTTTAGCATCTTCAGGTGTGTTTTGACGTAGCCAGTAGTAAGCTTCCCTAAAGTCATCAAAGATGATTCTGGAGCCGTCATTCTGACTGGCAGCAAGGACTATTGAGGGAGAGGAATAAGCCTCCGACGTAACCTGGAGGAGGACATTGACTGACACTATGAACACAACCCATTTACCCAAGTGCAGTGAAAGGTGTAGGTTATTAGGAATCCAGTGACTAGTAGAACAACAAGACTTGCTATCTGTAAGGAGGAACCAGCTGGGGAGGGAGACTGGTCTTAAACTAACCTCGCTCTTGATGGGGTAGGTGGAGTCTTGTTGCTTCTTAGTCTTCTTGACTTTGTTATCAAGAACCTCAACATTCTACATAACGTTAGTTAGTCAATCATATTAACAGTAACAGACCTTCATATAGACCGAGAGTATTCCAGATACAGCAATACCTGATAATATACACATCACCGGAGCAAGTACCAGCATCAGACGAACCATTACTCCCTAATGGGCGGGGTCAGAGAAAGGAATAAAACAGTTAGAACTTACAGCGAAATAAATACTAGTGACTCCATACAATATAATGAAGACATTGGCATCTGTCAACTTAGAGAAACAGAAATAGAGTCCAACTAGTAAGAGGCAATGGATATCAGGAGATACCTAAAGTACTCGTACCTGGGAACATGAAGACCAGCATCTGAAGATCAAAATAGAACGAGGACCAGGTGGTAGGCTGGTGCTCGGAAACTGAGGCTATGATTGGGATATTGTTCTTAGCATATGAGGGGTCCAGTAATGAATAAAATCTACCAGTCCAGGGGGAAATTTCTACAAAATAGCAATAATATAAATATAACAATAACTATTGTAGGTCTTACTCCCTAGAGCAGTGAGAGCACCTCCAACAAGAGTGGTGAGGGATATCACGATAATGGCCAGTGTTCTGAAGAGAAGGCTGAACTGTCTGTCTGATAATTTACTTCTCAAATAATTAACAAAAGCATGAATCTGACACAAACCAAATGTACCAAATGCCTACAGAAATACAATTATAATTGTGCATTATTTATAAGTAATGGTATTTGAAATGTTTCCAATTAATTAAATGATTATTGGCCATTGCCATGACTACCAATAATCTCACCAGTAAAGGATACCATTACTCTATGCACTAGTAGCAACACTGGTACCAGTGGGTGTGGCTAATACCAGCCGGCTTAATTAGTGCAATTAATTAATTATTAATCAATTATTAACGAGACAGTCCTTAAACTCACAGCCATGTGTTCGCTGGATTGAACTGGTTGAAATCCAACAAAAGATATCTGCATTGACAACATTGTACCTAGACAATACACCTAGAGAAAGCTCCACCCAGTGGCCCACCCACTCTTACCGTGGTATATGATACATATACTCTGTGAGAGAACCTTCCGGTGATCATCAGAGCCAGGACGTGAAGAGGAATCAAATTGATGAGGAATACATACCCTCCCCAGGACGAGACCTATAATGGAGACCGTAACCACACCCATTACATGACACCGCCCATTACCATATAAAAGTAGGCTAGTGAACAGAGAGTGGACCAGAACATTGAACCAGTTTTAACTGACTTGATCCAGAGGAGGTAAGTGAATATCATACAGAATATAGCAATCCCTTCGTTGTCATAGGAACCAGCAACAGATCGAGAGATATATCCTGGCACAATGGCTATCATGACAGCTGCACAGAGGCCGGCCCCAGCGTCCTGTACATGTACATGTAACGTACCAGCAAGTGTTTGAGTACCTTGAGTTCTTTGGTTAGGTGGTAAGTGGCTACAACAGTGAGGGACGAAAACAATGGGGCCAGGAACACACAGACGTTCCTAATCTCAATGGTAATGTTAAGAGCATGAAGGATGTGATATATACCGGCAGAAGTTACCATTAACCCTGTTAAAAAGGGGCGGAGTTATTAATGATTATTTAACCCTTTGTTACCTGGGTAAATGGTGCCTCCAATGATCCTACCCAGAGGGTACCAGGCCCTGTCATCAAACCAGTTATGAAACTGATAAAAACCTTCTTCAGTGAGGAACCTTGTCGTACGATAATTAAAGTACCTGTAAAGGTGTTAAAAGAGGGTGTGGTTAATATTATAAAGAGGCGTGTCTCACGGATCAAATTCGTGAATGACACTCTCAAAACGTAAGACAGCAAACAGTCGAGTGGAGAAAGCTAAAGGGAGAATCATGAGATCACGTGATGCACATTGCCTTACATAAAATGGCTGCGAGTGAGAGGACCACCAGTTTAATCATTGTCTCCTTCTTGTCTTGAGAGAAACGAGTCAAGAGGAGCTTTGAGAGAGGCCCAGGAAGAAAGGCAGCAACAGAGTCCATCTTGAATACAACCTTTGGGCCCCTTTCAATGGACAACACATGAACACAAGACACAACAAAGGGACGCCGAGCATGCGCAGTTTGAACTGTACCACCCACAATAATGGATAGTGGACACGTGTTCACACGTGGGACGAATTTGTAGCCCATTTTTAAATCTAAAACATCATTTGAATAAATAAAACAATATCAACGACGCAATAACAATAGTTTAAGTTCATTGACAAGGTTGGTATTTTAGCTATTAAACTGATTAAAAAAGTATGACTATACAATAATAATAATAATAACAATAATATTATTAATAATAACCAATAATGTTGCTTATTAATACAATTTCAATAATTGTTAACTCCATTTGATGGGTATACCATACAGTCTAGCTTTAGTGAATTCATATGTTACAAAAGTGATTCCCATACTGGGAGCCACCTTTAATAGATTGGGTATCATACCTAGAAAAGAACAACAATGTAATGATAATGAAGAATTCTCTCCTTTTCAATTTTGGTGAAAATTGGCCAAAATCCCGGTACTATAGTACAGGGACTTCCATGCAATTTTAGAGTAACTTTAAATATAATATTAAAAATCCAAACTTGAATAGAATTACCTCAAACTTTCTACACAAATTAAAAACATATATTATGTATCAGAAAAAGTCATAAAAATAGAGAATTCTCTATTTTTCAGTTTTGGCCAAATTTGGCCAAAGTCCCTGTACATAGTCTGATTTTTGAGTAACTTTAAACTTGCAGTACTTTATGATTTAATTCTTTTGCTAGTACATGCAATCAGAGAGTGCATATTGTGATAAAGATGTACCTTTATAAAAGGACCCTATCCCTTCAACTCTGTACATTGTCTGTATTGCATTTGGTGTTGAAGTGTATGGAAACAAATCACTTCGAGCTCCTCTCATTTGCATCCTCCGCCTTATAACATCAAGAGGATACGTTACTATAAATAGATATGATTTCATCATAATGTTACTATAAATAAGCATACTTGATTGTGCAGTGGCACCAGATATAGCTCCACAGGTCAGTTTCCATAGCACTGGCATTTCGTCATCAAGCATCAGCTGGCTCCGTGTATCATCAGTGCTGAATACAATATTCATTACATACCCTGCATTGAGAATTAAAATTGTATTCATTTTTGGTTTTATGGCAAATTGATATCATAAATGCTACCAAATTTCCTGCAGTTGGACATTACCTTTTAGCATCTCATAAATAGCAAAGTTGAGTCCCACGTAAGGAGCTATTCCCTAAGTATCTAACAATTAATATATTAACATTGTTTCCATGGTTACCATAGCAGTGGGTACCAGCCCACGATAAAGTGCTCCGCTCCAGAAACCACCCTCCTCTTTAAGAATGACTTTAAACGTCTGAGTAATGTTTCTAAGCAACAATAATAATAACAACAACAACAACAATAATAAATAATACCGGTAATAATAATAAATAATTAATCAATACTTGTATTTTTTGTGTGATTCCTCTTGTTGTATAGAGAGGCGTGTCCTCACCAAATCAAGCGGATAAGTAGCAGTAACTGAAGTAATACCTGCCGGTCAATTAATAATAATAATAATGATAGCAATAAAGTGGGAGGGGTCACCTGCCAGTGCTCCTGCTAGTAATCGTTTAAATGGACTTTGTTCTCTAGCATCTGATGACACCTTTAATAACTATTAATAAGTAAATAAACTAATAAGTAAATAACCATTAAGTAAATAACTATTAATGACAGCTCTATAATACTGAAGGTGCAAATATTTAACCCATTGCTCTGTAACCATTATACTTGTACAATTAAAAATTACTTTTTTAAACTCTTCGTAGGCAGCAAACTGTACAGCAACATAAGGTACTATACGGATCACGTTGGTTCCATTTCCTTTATAGTATCCTCTGATCCCCTCCTCCCTCCATATTGTCCTAAGTGATGACGTTACTCCTTGAAACTTGCGATTCTCTTTTGAGTCAATTTGTACCTTCAAAAAGAGAGAGACTTTATGCAGTTTCACTGTTGTATGTACCTGGTAGAGTATCTTTAGTCTTTCTAAAGGTGATACACAAGTCCTCGAGACAGCTCCAGCCACTCCTCCAGCTACAAGATGCTTCAACTGATTCAGTGTCAACTTGTCCCATAACGTTTCATTATCAGAAGTACCTCTGTCTCCGGCCTGTGATGACGATATGACTACTACAGTATTAAATAGACCGCATATTCAATTCAACCTTATCTCAATAGAAAGGACTTACTTTTGCTCATTTTTTGAATGAACTGTGAACTATGTCTTCAGTTCATGGCCAATGGAGAATGCAATGGGTATGGTTAGTAGGCGGGGTCACAATCAACAACACTTAAAAGTATACGGAGATTTTATGTTAAATTATACGGATCATGTTTTCAGTTCCATGTGGTGTAATAGGTGTATTATCCCTGCTATGATATAGAAGATTCCAAAGAAGCACGTGGCATAATCATATGAGGGCGTGGTCAATGTGTTCCCGCCATTTTCAAAAAAGATGAGAAGAACAGAAGAAGATGAACTGGTAGGACACACACTCTCCCTCCCTCCCTCCCTTTCTTACCAACAGCCTCCATTGGTAAATATCTACTGAATTAATCTCTTCTTTTTAGTGTCCGTCATTTTATACCCCGTGGGGCTCCTCCTCCACTGCTCTCATAGGCCTAAAGTCTCTCCCAGTCTTGTAAGTGATTCCTCTATTCTTGTTCTCATTATAGGTACATCAGAGCTGAAGCTGTTGAAGACTGAGCCAGGATATTTCAAGTTGTATGGTAGTGTGTGTATTATATCATATTATACTGGCTCTATTGTTTTATGTAGGACCACCAGTCAGTATTTCAATGATCCATTCATTCATTATTGGTACGTGTGTATTATTATTATGTACACTCTATGTTTGTAGGTAATAAAGTCCTGCCCTAATCTTTATACATGTACGTGTACATATGTATGCATTCTAGTGTACTCTTGTATATTTTTAGGATATTACTCAGTGTATTGTTTCAAGTCTCATCTATTGTACAGTAAATATGTGTTGTTCTTGTATTATTATCTATTTTACAGGTTATATTCATGTACTTGATTTATTCAGGATATTTTAAGTATTGTCCAGTATATGATTATATTATTATTCGTTTTACAGGTGATAAAGACACTGAATTAAGTCTTTATGTGGTAGTTATGTTGGTTCGGTAACAAATGGAATATTGTGACATGTATTTTTGTTTATTTTTAGGATACTATCAGTATTCTAAAGATAGAACTACCTAAAGCGCAAATCAAGTGTATGGTATAGTCTGGCATTTTGTTAACATTCTTTTCTTTCTCATGTTTTGTTATTAATTAATTATTATTTTTATGAGGGTATTCTTTTACTGTCAGTATCTTATTGGTAATACGTGATGATTTATTTTATATCTTTTTTATTTTCAGGTTGATGTTCATTACTAGTATCAATGGATCAGAGGCAGTTCTCTCTATTGGTTAATGATATCCACACACTATCATGTACATGTACATCCTTATCTGTAACATGTATTCTATTTCCCTTTCCTTAAGATTGCTACATAGACTCAAGCCAGCATGCAGTCTTCTTCAGCATCAATTCAGTCCAAGTCTTCAGTGTATGGTAACAATGTATCTATTGCATGTTATTAATAACCTTGATTACAGTGCTAATAATAAACGGCTCATTTTATCACTATTCATCCCATTACATGTAATAAAGCACTGTCCCATTGATCTTTACTTATTCTATTGTTTAAACATTTTTCTCTTTTATTTTTTACAGGGATCAAGTTTAAAGTCGGTTGAGTGTGAGGTAGAGTGAGAGTTAATAATGTATAATTACGCATGTTTATAATGTATTTTATGCATGTACAATATAATCCACACATGTCCTTCCACCCCCCCCACCCCACCTCTAGTAGGTCTGACTGTTCTGGATCTGGACTCGGGGATCAAGTTTAAAGTTGGTTGAGTGTGAGGTAGAGTGAGAGTTAATAATGTATAATTACGCATGCTTATAATGTATTTTATGCATGTACAATATAATCCACATATTCTGCTCTCTCCCTCCACCCCCCCTCTAGTAGGCCTCTGACTGTTCTGGATCTGGACTCGGGGATCAAGTTTAAAGTCGGTTGAGTGTGAGGTAGAGTGAGAGTTAATAATGTATAATTACGCATGCTCATAATGTATTTTATGCATGTACAATATAATCCACACATGTCCTTCCACCCCCCCCACCCCACCTCTAGTAGGCCTCTGACTGTTCTGGATCTGGACTCGGGGATCAAGTTTAAAGTTGGTTGAGTGTGAGGTAGAGTGAGAGTTAATAATGTATAATTACGCATGCTTATAATGTATTTTATGCATGTACAATATAATCCACATATTCTGCTCTCTCCCTCCACCCCCCCTCTAGTAGGTCTGACTGTTCTGGACTGGACCCTGGTAAGGATTGATTGCATGTTTTCCATTATTACATGTAATGGGATGAATAGTGATAAAATGAGCCAATGGTTTAAAATTTTGAATGATAAAAAAAAATCGAGAATAAAAATGAACAATTAGAACTAATTAATCAATTAATTAGTAGGTGGGGCTAGTAAAATTATAACCACACCCCTAGCCAGTGGAACTATAGCCACACCCCAATAGATTTATAACCACACCTCCTGCTGAAAAGGTCATACAGTACTACACAGCTGCTACTGTTGTACATTGTATTTCCTTTAGTAGCTGTTTGGTGTGTGGGTGTCTCATGGCCTCCATTTTATCAAGCTGTGGTCAAACCCACTGAATAGTGTTTAGTTAGCATGTTCCAATGACAATAATAAAACATAATAATTAATCTATAAGTTTCCCTTCATTAAGTAGTTCTGGAGGAGGCCCAGACCTGGTAAGGATCTATAGTATACATGTAGTTGATAGTTCTAGTGTTAGGAGTACATGTACTTATTGTAGATAAAATGCAAGGGGCGTGACTAGTATAACTAATCAAAAGGGTGTGGCTTTTAATGATATACGGAAATATACTGTTTGTGTCACTTTCCTTTCCAGCTACAACTATCTTCCATCTTTATTTCATTTTGTCTGCTATCAGAAGAAGAGGTTATGGCGGAGCAGAGGTTGAGTGCTATTGCTGACAGGTTGGAGAAGGCGGTTACAAGACTGGAGTCACTTGGTAAAGGCTCATCCGGTGGAGGATCTGAAGTGAACAGTAAGAGACAACATTAATAACCACCTGTTCTGTATTATGATGTGACCTTTTAACTTTTGTTCCGTGTGTAGGTGAAATTGTTGATGAGTTTGATTCCCAGGTAAGTCACTGTACATCACTATGTTTTCTTTACTTGTAAATTACAAAAATCTGTTTTCGTCTCATAAATTTTCACTGTCTGGTAGTGTATTGAATCGTAGTTTTAATTTATGTGAATTATTTAAAGAAATCAAAGATGTTATATTGTATTGTATTGACATCATTACAAGTATTTTGTGTTTTTAGGTTTTGAATGGAAAATTATCAAAGTATTTTGAACTCTCAAAGAAGTTTGGTGGTGAAATAAGTGAACAGGTACGTCAAGTGTACATTTGATGTGTTTATTTTTACCTTATATGGTATTAGAATAAGTATATATATGTGTGTCCTTATTTTAGGCTGAGATTGTGAGGAAGTGCTTCAATAGAGAGAGAGAGATTCTTGTTCTTGCTTCGAAACACAAGCAACCAAAACCAGTTAGTACTTATAGTGACCACACCCGCCCATTAATCTATGTTAGGATGTTACTGCTCAAATTATGAAACCGTTGGGAGTGTGTGTTGATGAAACTATCGTAAGTTAACCTCTACATGTACATGTACCTGCTTTGGTGGCTCATTTCATTCACTTCCATATATGGTAGTGTATATGAGCAGCTGCTGTCTATACGCTTGTTACCATATTTGGTCAATCACTTTATAATAATTAATTTTATTTATTTATTATTATTAGGCTTATTGTGAAAAGAGGCGTGGCAGTAAAGTATTCAACCACTTGATGACAGTGAAGGAAGGAATAGGCTGTGTGGGTTGGGTCACTGTGGTAAGCCACACCTCTTTATTGCTCATTAATTAGAATAATTAGGCCCCTAAACCAGCTCCATATGTAAAGGAATGTGGAGACCAGAGTTTGTTCTACGGGAACCGAGTGAAGAAGGAGTACAAAGGAAAGGATAAGTAAGTACTATGGCTTCATGATGTACATGGTTTTGAAATTTGGTTAATTAAGAGGTTTAGTGGTTCCATTTTATGCCTGATTCTATAGAACCTGTCACAGTAAGGTTACATACTAGTCTATAACCTCAATAGACCTCCTTTACTGTATTAAATATTACAACTATTATTATTATTATTATTATTATTATTTATTAATAGTCAACATTGTGAGTGGGTGGATGCCTATTTTGGTATGTTTAAGGACCTTCAAGAGTACGTTAAGACTTACCACACAACTGGACTCACTTGGAACCCTGAGGTATAGACCATACCCACTGTATAACTAGCCCCACCCTTGCACTCTATATTAATAGGGTACAGAGTTGACCAGTGCTCCTGCTGCTGGTGGTCCCCCTCCTCCTCCTGCCGTGGGTGGTCCCCCTCCTCCCCCTCCTGTTGCTGGGGTACCTCCTCCCCCTCCTCCTGGGGCTGCCGCTTCGTCTGCTTCTAGCTCAAAGAAACCCGACACTACAGCTCTCTTTGCACAAATAAACCAAGGGTCCTCTGTCACCTCCAGTATGTGCAGTCTATTTATAGCATCAGTCTATTTATAGTATCATTATCATGTTCTGTTTATAGTATCATCATTATATCTATTAATAGTATCATGTTCTATTTTTAGATTTGAAGAAGGTTACTAAGGATATGCAAACTCATAAGAATCCTGAGCTCAGAGCTTCATCGGTTGTTAAAGATACAGACATTAAGAAACCAAAGGCTGGATCTGCTGCTAAGCCAACGCCTGCTGCTAATGTCCAGCGACCGCCAAAATGTGAACTTGTTAATAACAAGTGGATTGTGGTAAGAGAACTAGTTATTAAACCAATTTAATACATTAATTAATTAATAATAGTTAATTAATGTATTCTAATTATAGGAATATCAAGAAGGAAATAGTAATATTGAAATCACGCCCACTAATTCAAAGGAGGCTATTTACATTTATAAATGCAACAAATCCACTATTAAAGTGCATGGGAAATTGAACTCCATTGTGATTGGTAAGTCCCTGTTAATTAAGACCAGTCAGTGTTGTGTATATGAACCACAAGAGGCTGTCACTCTACATGTACATGTATTGTTACTGTCTTTAGATTCTTGTAAGAGAGTTGGTCTTGTTTTTGATTCAACCATATCCTGTGTGGAGGCAGTTAACAGCCAGAGTGTCCAGATACAGGTACAATAATAAGTTCATGTAGTACCTTTCCTCATACATTATTAACACGTAAATGCACTCACTCCAAGATCAGACCAAAGTCCCTCTACTATAGTACAGGGACTTTGGCTTAATTTCACCAAAAATTAAAAGTAGAGAATTTCTTTATTTTTCCTAATACCTGGTACTGTATGTCATGTATTTGTGTCCAGTAAGTTCATGTATTCTTGTTGTTTCCATATAAGGTCACTGGTTATTGCCCCACTATTTCTATTGATAAGTGTGATGGCTGTCAAGTCTTCTTGAGTAAAGAGTCTCTCAATTGTGAAATAGTTTCTGCCAAATCTTCTGAAATGAATATTTCTGTTCCTACCGGAGATGAAGGAGATTTTGTGAGTAATTCTAATTAATGGCACACTTGATGCATTGTTAAGCTTATTAATTTAACAATTTCTACAGTGTAGCCTCTTTATTAAGGACACCATTGGGCCCACACTACCTGTCCTTAATACATGTACAGTGTAGCCTCTTTATTAAGGACACCATTGGGCCCACACTACCTGTCCTTAATACATGTACAGTGTAGCCTCTTTATTAAGGACACCATTGGGCCCACACTACCTGTCCTTAATACATGTACAGTGTAGCCTCTTTATTAAGGACACCATTGGGCCCACACTACCTGTCCTTAATACATGTACAGTGTAGCCTCTTTATGAAGGACACCACACTACCCGTTCTTAATACAGAGGTGTCCTCATTTCAGAGGTACTTTTGTACCAATTGGGACATTAGAAAATGTCCTCATTATAAAGGTGTCCTCATTATAAAGGTGTCTTCATTATAAAGGTGTCCTCATTATAAAGGTGTCTTCATTATAAAGGTGTCCTCATTATAAAGGTGTCTTCATTATAAAGGTGTCCTCATTATAAAGGTGTCCTCATTATAAAGGTGTCCTCATTATAAAGGTTACACTGGCCGTAGTGCATGTACACTTTGTAGTAGTTTCATGATTATTAGTAACTCAGTGATAACAGTGTAGTATCATTATCAGTCTCTCTATCAGTCAGCCACTCTGTGGAGTGTGTGTATGTTCTTATCTTGTGTAGTAAGTGAGTGTTTATGATCTGTTGGGATATTATTCACTTGTGCTACTCTCAGCATGTTTGTAATAATTACTGATAATTTTTAATTTATTTTTAATCTAACTTTATATTTTATTTTATTCATTAGAGTGAGTTTGCTTTGCCTGAGCAGTTCAAGTCTCTCTGGAATGGTAAGAAGTTTGTCACTGAATGCACTGACATCAACGGATAGAGGAAGTAGGTGTGGCCTCTCTCATTTTATTTCTTGTGCTGTAAAGGAACTTTTATTAGTAGTGAACTGTAGGTACAGCTGCAACATTAGCATTATTAGCGTTTATTATTATTATTATTATTATCATTATTATTATTATTATTATTATTAGTATTATTATTATGTTAGGTTTTTTGCTTGCTGTAGGCATTTTGAGCTTTGATTTTATTTATACTTGTGTAATTAATAATAATAATGATCAGTTATAAATACAAAATATTGAATAGGTAGTATATTGATACCTTCAATAGACATGATGGCAGACACTAAGTACATATTCACTACACAGAGTGATAGAGAAAGATATAGTAGACATGCAGTGACCAGTGTGTGTGTGTGTGTGTGTGTCTGGAGGTGAGTATCAGTAATGTAATACCTGAGTCCCTTGATATCTGCCCTCAGCTTCACCTCAAGCAGATATCTCAGTCCTCAGGCATTACCTCCAGACAGGATGGACTACATGTACATATTCAATAAACACAAGACACAGTAAAGTCAGTGTTAGCCTGTATAGTACTCTTGCTATGTTGATTGTATTATCAATGGTTGGTTAGTATAACTCCTCCACAGTTACTATACTCACTCTCTTTGAGGAATGTCAATTCTCATTTTATCATATAACATTATGGCAACTGTCAGTAGTACCAATAGAGGTCACACTGTCACTTGTAATGGAATAGAACTGATACTATAATATTAGTTAGAGACTCTGTCATGAGAGAGAGAGGGTAAAGGGATATCTCATTATTATTATTATTGGTTATTGGTGTGTGTGTGTGTGTGTGTGTGAAGTTATTGGTACATTGACCAGATACTATTCTAATGTAATTAGTTGTGAGTAGATGTCTTCCCTAAATGTACATCCAGTTACGACCTATTGGTACTACACTATTAGTAATAATGTATGATCCTTTACTATAACCGAGTGGTATCTTGTTCTTATTTAAACCTACCAATAAAAACCAATTGACTTCATTAACACACACACACATACTGGTACAATCTATTGGTACTGTACAATGGTGGACTGCAATCTTACAAATCTTGTTAGCTCATTCCTTCACTGTGTGAATCTCCCTACATGCATATATGTACATGTATGTGTAAGTGTATGATATACTGTGTGTGTATGAGGTGTACTGGTGGTATGATGCTTGAGATACCTTTTGGTTTATTTTAGTTTGTTAACATATCTAATGCATGTTCAGGTGTTGTAACTATTCAACACACATACCTGTAGCATCATAATGTACATGTACTTATACCTGATATGGTGCACTAGTAATTACAGCAGTTGAAACTGAAAGATGTTTCTGTGTGATAATCTGTACACCACATTGAGTATCTGCTCTATATATGAAGAGTCTGTTCTCTATTTGTATTAACCTGTTTGTTGTAGAGTATTGATGGTTACTGAATGGGTTATGTTATCACCTTTTCAAAGGAAATGTCCTTTATGTGATGACACATTCTCTGTAGCACCCCAGACAATAAATGAAGCAAGGGCTGTGTGAGTATTTATTTATTTATAATACTAGTAATAATAATAATAATAATAATAATAATAATAATAATGGATATATATGTATATATATATATATATATTTATATATAATATAGTATAAATATAATAATAATAATAATATTAATAATAATAATGTGATATAGTCTAGTATAAGATGTTAATGTTATTTTTAGTTTGCAATGTTAAAAGAGACGTATTGTTGTTGTGGTTGTTGTTGTTGTCCGTGATTATTGTGTTTCTGGGCCGTACTATGAGGAATGTGAGGCGACATGTAACCACCAAATGGAGGAGGACTTCCGTTAAAAAACTGTGGGAGGAACATCGGATTAATTAAGTGTGGGGGCGGACTGAAGGCAGGCTGACCATCGGCAGCTGGGAAGAAGTGAGGAGGAGGAGAAGGGAGGAAATATGGAGGAACCATATTGTGTGTTGGCGACCTGTTGAAAAAAATAATGGACATATATACAAAGGTGTCCTTTATGTGGAGGTTATTTTATACAGTAAGGAATGTAATTGGTACACTAGGTGCTGTCCGTTAAATGGAGGTGTACGCTATAGAGAGTGTCCATTAAGAGAGGCTATACTGTATATGCTCTGTTTTGTCAATAGTCAATTCTTGTGTGGATCAGTTTCAGTTTACAGTTAATTGGTTAGAGTTCATCAGTGTACCTTTGTGTACTGATTGTTGTGAACTTACTGTGTCTGGAATGTGAATAGACCATTTGGTGATTCACTTCTCCCTAATGTATAACCAGTTAGAGGACTAGCTGCAATAAGAAGAGAGAGAGAGGACTTGTTAAAATAGACAGGATATTGTGTATTTAGAAAAGTGAAGACAGTTTAAAGTAATCAGTGTGGCCCTTTACTTCCACACATGCTATATATTATATATATCTAGAGTATCAATGGGTTATCTCACTTGGTGTCTGCTGCTTATTCTTTGCTCCGAGATATGCCAAGTTGACATTTGCTTTCCTTCCATCTATGACTGGATTAGGATTGGCACAAGCTTTCTCTGCATCTTCTTTATGTTTCATTGTCACCTACAGAAAGTGAGAGAAAGGTCAGTCAGTTCATGATGTCAATGCATCATATACAGCACATAATCTCCGTACTGGCAATTGTCAGACTTACAAATCCATATCCTTTGGATTTAGATGTGACCCTGTCGTGAATGACTACAGCTTCTTCAATGTCACCAAACTGAGCAAAGAAGTCGTACAAGGTCTCGTTTGTGGTGTGGTATGGCAGGCCACCAACAAACAGCTTTGTAAAGGTGTTGTCTTTCTGCAGTAATATTGGACCGTCGGCAGCCATTTTCCTGTCACAGCTATGGGGGAGATTTCTTTAAAAGCTACTCTAAACTGTAGACACACACAAATACACACACACACTCGGGGAGGAAAAGTCCACACACAAAACACACAAAGTTGCTCTACAGCACACAGCGAAGACCGCATAGTGTATTTATACAGTAAGCTGCAGAGTAACAGGTTGAGTGGGAGGGGCTAGATCTAATGTGACGTGTGGGTGTTAGTTGGAGGAGGGGCTGAGACCATGTGTGGGTGAGCTGGTATGCAGACCAAACCCACAGGCCAAGCAATCCATAAAAGAGAAATACTGTACAGTTCTTGATAATTCTCTAAACTCTAAGTCTACAATGGCAGTAGAACCAGGCAGACTATCCAGAAGTATAATACTGAAGGAAGGATTCCTCTACAAGAAAGGCGGGATCATCAAGAGCTGGTCCAGGAGATATTTCGTACTATCCCACCAGTCCCTCTGTTATTTCAGGAGTGAAGAGCACATGAAACTAGAGCCCCTTGGTCGTATATTCCTCAGTGATATTGTGAGTATTTCTGCAGATGGGACTGAGAAAAGAAAAGCATTTGTGTTTGCCCTCCATACCAAGAAAAGGGCAGTCCTACTCCAGGGGGCCAATACTGAAGACAGGGACAAATGGATTGAGACTATTCAGAAGTCACTGGAGACTGAACAAGAAGCAGAAAATAAAGATCCATTTAGGAAGTCTCTCAGACGCCTCACTCCAGGTACAATAAACAATTCAGATTAACTTGTTCTGTACACATTCAGTGCATGGAATTTGATGCTCAAGGAATGCTATTAAAATTATAATTTATATGCATGATTCATTTTGGCTTCATGAAATATTGGCATTTGTAATGTTAGCATGCTTCTATCAGTTGCTCTGTGGCTTGTTTCTTAACCTGTGGTTACTGCATTACCTTCTGCTGATCCAGACAGGAGGCACTCATTAGAGCTAGTGTAAAGAGAGAGACAGAGACAGAGTGATGGTTGTTGTTTTTCTGTAGCTATTTTTATGGTATCTGTTGTGCACATAGAAATCATCAACTTAGACAAATTACAGACATTAACACATGCACATATACACCTAACTAATGCAATAAGGAGATACAATACAGAGTTGGATTACAATGTACTGCAGTCAAATAGTGTACTGATGTGTGCAAATACTGATGATCATGCCAATGCCTTGTGTGAAGAATGAATGTGAGTAATTCAATATAGCCTCATCTTTTAAGGAATATTTTAATCAATTGAACTCTGCTATACAAAATAACAATTGATAATTATGGCAAAGTGAATTTACATTTCTATTTAAATCCATTTTTAAAGGAGCAGTATTGTTAATATGCATGTATACTGTTCATCCTGCAGGTATTAAGAGAGTTACCTTGTTTAAGGACCCACTCAAAGGTATTGGCTGTACTGTGAAGAACTCTGCTGGACATATCTTTGTTAATAAGATCATTGAAGATGGACCAATCTCTGAAACTGGGATATTAAGACCAGGTCAGTACTTTTAATGATAGATGTACCTGTGCACTTGTGTATACTGTACATGATCCAGTGTTGCTTGTAGAGTCACAGTTTAGCCATTAGAGGAATTATGGTTAAAGCAACAGCAAACACAGTCATCAACTTATTTGCATTGAACATGTACTAACCGCCCACACACACACACACAGTCTGGTTTAACTGCCTAATATGACCAGCAGTGGCTCATGCTTTTGGAGGGAAAACTAGTAACCAGCAGCTGTCTAATAGACATTATAGAAACAATATAATGTAGGAGTATGGGGATATGGAGAAAGTAATTAATAAGGAAGAGTTTGATTGTGTCTGACTGTAGGTAGAGAGATATGGGAACAGGTTTAAGAGGATATGAAATACTAGTAGCATTGGAATGTATCTTGACCTGTATCTGATACACAATTTAGTGTCTCATATTGTTATAATTAATGGATGTTACTAAATATAGAATTATCCCATCATGTTAAAATTCATTGACATTAAACAAGTACATGTGCTTTGTCTGGGTTACCATAAGCATTTATTGGTTCATTGGATTAGTGATATTGTGAAAGGAAACATTCATTATAAATACCTTTCTATGAGTTCTATAGACCACCTCTAGCTATTACTATCTAATTTAATTATCATCACATTATTATGGAGGACCTTCATTTAACATCATCAGATTATAAGGAGACTGAATGGTTTCCTTAAAAGGAATACATTACCATACAGTACAGACTGTATTATTGGCATGATTGATAGTTCCTTTTGCTAGTAGTGATAGGTCATGCCTTGTAACCAAATATGTACATTAGAATGGTCGGCTGGTGATGAGTGACATCAGTGGATGTAAAAGGATATTATCATTTGTTGGTGCCTTGTTACTGGAGTGTATGGTTAAAGTTCATATTAGCTCACCAGCCACCAGTCTATTATGGAGCATGATATCTCCAACTGTATCGGCATAATCCTCAATAAACCAACGTTATCATTTCTAAATTAAGCTAGTGTTTACATTATGCATGTTCTTTTTTGGATTGTTTTTGATTTGACTGGTACACTGGGACTATCAATAGATATACTGAAATACTCCTGAGGGAAAGTGTATCCAGTTTCAGTTTAAGTTTATTTTGAAAAAAAGAGAGGGAGAGAGAGGGAGAGAGGGTGTAGATTATGGAGGTTGTTTTTCCTTGCAATTTGCTGCCCGACCATTTACAGTTAAAATAAACTGTACTATTGATACACACACACACATACCACTCCATCCTCCACTGCTCCTCCTCAATGTATTAATAATAATTATAATTTAAAGCTTGTTCCTTCTCCTCATGTAGGTGATGAATTATTAGATATAAATGGACACTCAGTGATTGGCCTATCGGTCAATGAAGTGTCCTCTATCATTAGGGACACGCCCTCTCAGTTCCTAGCCACAGTGAGGCCAGTAGCATCAGTTCAAAAAGCATTGAAAGAGGATTCATCTAATGCTCTGTATTCAGACGTGGTTCACTTTAAACCTGGCAATGGAAGGAATGGGCTCAACGGGCAGAGTCCTCCATTGCCGGTGAGGTTCACTAAAGTTGATGAGGGAGGAGACAGTGACGATGATGTGGCTTATGCTGTAGTGAACAAGGAGAGACAGACTAACAATAATGGAAGAGCTACTGGATTTGTTAGCGTAAGTATGTCACAGTATCAAGGAACTATTGAATTAATTATATCCTTTGTATCTCATAGTGTGATTCCCCTCCCCCTCCACCCCTCCCTCCGTCTCTCCCTCCACCACTCCCTCCTCACTGCGGGGAAAACAGTAAGCTAAACTCTCCTCCATCTTTTGAGGACGTTGGTAACTATGACGATGAAGATGAGGGGGACGTCCCTCCTCCTCTTCCCCCGTGGACAGAAGACGCTTTCATCCTAGTGGACCCTCCCCCTTCTGCTCCTCCTAAATTTGATATATACAAGACTAACGCTCACCTCCCACCTGGTGTGGTCCCAAAGAGAACCGCTCATCCTTATCAAAGATACTCTCCTCCTCATACTAGACCAGCCTACGTCACGCAGTTATCATCTCCAGCTGTTAAGACTCCAAAGTTCACTACCCCTCCCTCTACTCCTCACTGCTTACGTAAATCACCTCCATTACTCCCACCACCTCCCAGACCAATAGCTAAAGCACATAAGTCTCATTCCCAGGGAGACGGTTTAGATAAAATTGATGATGATTGCCGCCCTCCACTTCCTCCGAGACCTCACAAGCTCCCTAACCCTGTCTTTTACAGTCCGGGCCCTAGACCAAGACGAGCTCACCACCAGTATGGGGACATGGACAGGTTTGCCGCTAAGAATAAAATGCCGAGTTATATTGATATTGAATTTTCTAATAAGAGGAAAGTTTTTTAGTAAATTGTATCTCTTAATGTACTGTGTGCCGACTGTAGTTAATGTATTGTGTATTAATGCACCTTTTGTCTATTTCTGTGACTTATAATCATCAATTGTCATCTTATTATTATTATTATTATTATTATTATTATTATTATTATTGTACATTACATGCACCAATCAGCAGTGTTATTATTATTATTATTTGTTTTGTTCAGTTAAATGTATTAATTGTTTTATTATTCATAATTATTATTTCAATCAACTCATATCCATTTGACAAATTTTTGTCAAAATTCACAGAGAGAAATTTTCAATTTTCTTACATTTTCTGATACATATACATGCTCTTGGTATGTGCAGAAAGTTTGAGCTGATTTCTATCAAGTTTGGATTTTTACAAATGTTTAAAGTTGCTCCAAAATCGGGTAAAAGTCCCTGTACTATAGTACAGGGATTTTGGCCAGATTTTGGCAAAAATGGAAAGTTGAAAATTCTAAATTATTATTACTTTTCCTGATACATAGACATGTTCTTATGTTGTGTAGAAAGTTTGAGGTGATTCTGATCAAGTTTGGATTTTTTTACGAATTTTTAAAGTTGCTCCAAAATCGGGTAAAAGTCCCTGTACTATAGTACAGGGACTTTGGTCAAATTTCACCAAAAATGGAAAGTTTAGAATTCTAAATTATTATTACATTTCCTGATACATATACATGTTCTTATATTATGTAGAAAGTTTGAGGTGATTCTGATCAATTTTGGATTTTTTACAAATTTTTAAAGTTGCTCCAAAATCGGATAAAAGTCCCTGTACTATAGTACAGGGACTTAGGTCAAATTTTGCTAAAAATAAAAAATAGAGAATTACTTGATTTTGTTATATTTTCTGATGCATATACGTGTTTTTATATTTTGTTAAAAGTTCGAGATGATTCCAATCAAATTTGGATTTTTACAAACATTTAAATTTACTCAAATATAGGGCAAATGTCCCTCTATAATTAGAAAAGATTACTATGAGAAGGCTTTTGATAAAATTTGATTATTTGACCATAAACCATGCATTTCAGATTTTTTGAACTTTGGATGTTTTTAAAATTTTAGATAAAATAAAATTAAAAGAGGCGTGGCTCATCAAAGATGGCGACCAGTCACGAAGAGTTGGAAGAGGTTGAATCTACTTCAGATTGTGATGAGGTGAGGACTCCAGCTGTACCTCAGGAACTATTGGCCTCCTATAATTTTGGCTGTGGCCCGTTTCATCCTCGTAGTCTTCAGTTTCTGGCCAGTAGGAGAGCTTTTACTGTTTTTCTGTGTCTGTTTGCTGTCATTGAAGGAGCTATTGTTATTGGTAAAGAGCAGACATTATCAGTAGTGTATTAATATATCACTGTCGTTAGGTCTTACTTCAGTGAATCTCTCTTCGATATCAAAACGATATCACTTCACCAGTACTGCTGCCGGGGTCATACCCACTACTTTTGATATCACTGTCACTCTTTCTGTCGTGTTTATTTGTTATTTTGGAGGCAGAGCTCACAAGCCGAGATGGCTAGGCATCAGTATGATTGTTCTTGGTATTGGTTCTCTCACGTTTGCTTCTCCTCAGTTGTTTCTTGGAAGCTACAGTCCGAGTGGAGGGAGCAGTAGTCAGTATCAAGATGAGCTCTGTCAAGATGTCAGACATTATGAAATAAGCTGTCTTGAGTCTGACAGAATAGCTTACGGATTGTTTGTATTTGGTAAAGTACTGATGGGCCTAGGAGCAGCACCACTGTACACTGTTGCTCAGGCTTATCTGGACGAGATAGTTCATCCCAAGTATATCTCAATATACATGGGGACCTATCATGCAATGGGGATCTTTGGACCTGTCCTTGGTTACGGACTGGGCAGCAGTTTATTGTCAGTCTACGTTGATCCATGGACAGAAACCAGTTTGAAACCTTCTGACCCGTCCTGGGTAGGAGCATGGTGGATTTCTTTTCTATTGATAGGGATCCTCTCACTAATGGCGGCTGTTCCTTTCCTCATGTACCCACGGTATCTGTCCGATAGTTACAGCATTTGGAAGGAGAGGGTTAAAGAAATGGCTAAAACCTATAAAGATGATCCTGACAGATTAATACAGAAGGGAAGTATTGATGTCCGCATATTGAAGGACTTTTACATTCAGATCAGAAGGTTGTTCCTCAATCCTTCGTTCATATTCTGTTCCCTGGCCCTTGGAGGTCTGTATCTTGTCTCCAGTGGTATTGTCGTGTTTGGTCCTCAATTTCTAGAGTCCGAGTTCTACCAGTCGCCCACAGCAGCTGGTCTTATTGCTGGTGCCATTGGAGTCACTACTGCTGGTCAGTCCACCTCTAAAATGTTTTGATTCTTTTTATTTATTTTGACAGTTTTTGGAGTCCTGACTGGTGCCTTCATTATTTACATATTCAAGCTAAGAGGTCGCAAGATGATGTTCTTATGTTTTGTAGTCTCCATATTGAGTGCCCCATTAGCTCTCGGTCTATTTGTACACTGTCCTTCTACTGTTGTAGTCGGAATCAATACTCCTGGAATGAATGGGTGAGTCTGGTTAACCCAATTAGTACAGACATACTCAATTTGGCTGGTATTAGGTCATACGGTGTTGATGGAGCTTCTTGTGTTCAAGAGTGTGACTGTCTCTCTCATTCCTTTGAACCAGTTTGTGGGCAAAATGGACTCACTTACTTTTCTCCCTGTAGAGCCGGTTGCTTCAATACAACCAATTCAGTGGATGAAAAGGTTAACCGATTGTAAGACCCCATTTACACTAATCCATTTTAACATGTAAACGGAGACTTTTTGATTCTGATACAGCTTCTGTTTACACTAATACATGAAAACGCATCACCTATTGGAAGCAAAATGTAAACTGATACCAAAGTGGATACTTTTATAAACGAATGATAAATCTTATGAAAATGCAGCTGCTGGATTAGTGTAAACACCTGAAACGAATAATAGCAAAAACAATCCGGATTCAGTGCAGTGGATTAGTGTAAACGGGGCCTAATAATGACATTACTGTGTGTGTGTGTGTGCAAACATGGAAAGTTCAACCAGTTTACATGTATATTATATAATAAGAATAATAATTATTGTAGTAATATTTTTATTAATAATATTAACATGTTTACAGGTGTGTTTATGTGTTATAATCTTGTTATTTTATTTTTAGAATTATCACAATTGTCAGTGTGTAAAAGATGAGATATCTATTAATAGTAACGATAGTCATCAGTACACAGCGTCCAATGGGAAGTGTCATGTTGATTGTAAGCTCCTGATACCTTTCATTGTTGGAGCAATGTTTGTACTTTCTTCAGTTTTTGTCCTTCAGATTCCTATCTATTACTTCACTATCAGGTATGGACACTTCCATTTAACAGACAGCTCCTAGTCTGCATGCTCTAGTCTGCCTGTACATCATCCTATCCTCACCATTTAACACGTTTATACTCACAGACTCTAAATTGTGTCTATCGTGTTTTCACATTTCTCTATGCACAGGGTTGTAGCTGATGATCAAAGGTCCCTAGCGCTGGGTCTTCAGTCTGCAATATGGCGTCTCTCTGGGGCTATTCCTGGTCCAATTATCTTTGGGATAATATTCGACTCGTCTTGTTTAAAGTGGGAGGGAACCTGTGGTCACCATGGTAACTGCTGGCTCTATGACAACTCTCACTTGAGTTTAGCCACCATTTCCTTTGCTGTCCCTGTGATGGTGGTCGTGTCCTTATTCTTTCTTTTGTCTTTCTTGACGTTTCCTAAGACAACAAAAGAAGAGGAACAAGAGAGGAGTGGCTCTGTTAAAGATGGTAGTAGTGATAGTTGTGTTAAGTTAAATGGAGTTTATGAAACGGAGAGCGAAGTTGATGATGACAAGGAGCAACTGATTAGACCAGAAAACTAACACAAGATATATACAGAGATTACAGAGATTACAGTGTATAAAAATAATTATTTTAATGCTTCGCCAATATCCCAGTATGTTGTGTTATTCATGTAGATTAGTCTCGTTAATTAATTATTCATCGATACAGACAGTACACACCCATGCGTCTAATTCAGGGCTAAAAAATTGTAGCTACAGCAAAGGCTTCTCACTGTACTATCAGCAGCTAATGGAGAACGGACTGACTGAACCTGATCTAGGCTTTACAAAAGACCCTCTGCCTGCTGCCAATGCCATAATATTACAGAATCTTGGAGCAGCAGACGGCCAGACTGCTAAAGATGATTCGAAAACAGAGGAAGAAGGAGCCACCACAGATGACGAGGAGGTGCCTGCTGAGCTAAAGAAGACTTACTACTTTGGCTGCGGCCCCTACTACTCAAAACGACTCCACTGGATAATGGCTAGAAAGAAAATGTTCACTTTTTTATTGTGTTGCTATGCTTTTCTCCAAGGTGCAATAGTTAGTGGTAAGTATCACTTTATTATCGATATAAAGTACATTGTTTGTTTGTGAACTGGACCGTGTTCATATTCCATATTAAAATCACTGGCAAGATGCTGGTATGTTAATGCTTGATGTATTTCTGCATATACTATGCATAACTGATGGTCACGTTACTATTGCTGATGGCCGCCGGATGTAGTGTGACTGTCCAGCTTTTAGTGTGAAGAGACGGTAATATTATACACTCCTACTCACTTGCCATAAGCAGTCATGAAACTAGAGTGTTAGAAATAACACAACCAAAAGGTCATTGATATGATATTATTAATGATTATATAGCAGCCAGACTGGCAGACATTGCAATTTTCATTAATTTAGTCTTTCATTATGCCAATATTTATAATCTCTTTTACTAGGTTTCACATCTGTTGTCTTGTCTACAATTCAAAACAGATACAATTTCAGCAGTGTTGCAGCTGGTTTTGTAGCCATATCTTACGATATAACTCTTACTGTTTCTGTCATATTTGTGAGTTATTTTGGAGGTAAAAGTCACAAGCCGAGGTGGATTGGAATCAGCACTTTATTGATGAGTTTTGGTTGCTTCATATTTGCACTCCCTCAGTTTCTGTTTGGTGAATATGGCAGAGGCTCCCTGAGTAGTCTTTATGAAGGTTGTATGGATAACAGGAGTTTCATTGAGGACTGCTCACCATCTGATGCTGGGGCATATACTATGTTTGTCATTGGTAATATATTCATTGCTGTGGGAGCTGCTCCCATATTTACAGTAGCTCAAGCATACCTTGATGAGATTGTACTCCCCAAGTATCTCTCGATACACATTGGAGTGTACCTTGCAACAGCTGCAATAGGACCTGCTTTTGGATACCTAGTTGGTAGCAGCCTGTTATCAGTGTATGTGGACCCGTGGGTTGAGACTACACTTGGTCCCGAGGACCCAGCTTGGGTAGGTGCTTGGTGGCTGTCTTTCATTCTAGCTGGTATCATGTGCATATTTCTTGCTGTACCATTCTTAATGTTCCCCCGATATCTACCAGACAGTGCTGTAGTTAGGAAGGAGAGAGCTAAAGAAATGGCAAAGATATATTCAAAGAAATTTGCAAATGAGGACACACTGACTGTTACAGTCAAGATGTTCCCTATACATATAAAAAGACTACTCCTCAATCCTTCTTTCATGCTTTCTGCATTTGGTTTAGCTGCTTTCTTTATTCTTGTCAGTGGCTTGATTGCTTTTGCTCCAAAATACTTTGAGGAACAGTTTAGACTAACAGCTACATCAGCAGGATTGCTTTCAGGAGGAGTGGCTATTGCTAGTGCAAGTTAGTCCATCAAACTGTATTTTAAATTAATTATCTTTTGTTTTTAGCTATTGCAACATTAGTTGGAGCTTTTATCTTATACCTTACTAAAATGAAGGGAAAGACAGTGATATTGTTTTGTTCTATTCTCATTGGTCTGTCAGTATTGTTCAGTCCTGGCTTCCTCCTCCACTGCTCTCAGCCTGATATTGTTGGAATAACCTACGGAAGGTAGTGTATCCTATAGTTGATATGCTAATGTATTATATTGTTATATAGAGATGGTATTGATACTGAGGTATGTGCTCAAGAGTGTGATTGTATCTCAACATCATTTGAACCAGTTTGTGGTGAAGATGGACTCACTTACTTCTCTCCTTGCAGGGCTGGTTGTACCACTACCTTTAATGATGGAGTGAGTCGGCTTTATTTATACGATTATTTTACCAAATTTTAGTTATGAGAGAATTATTATTTTTGATGCGTATATTCAATAGGTATATTCATTTGGTAATTGTTCGTGTGTTTTGGTTAATTCAACAGTTGGTTCTGTTACTGATGGATTCTGTGAGACCAGCTGCAGTGCTCTCGTTCCGTTCATACTTCTCCTCATTGTTGTTTTATTTCTTATCTTCATTACAAGAATACCTTTTACTTACTTCATTATGAGGTATAATCATTAAATTAATGTATCCCTCATATCATTAAACATGATTAATATCATCAAGGACCCTGTACTATAGTAAGTACAGGGACTTTGAACAGATTTTATAGTAACTTTAAAAATTCATAAAAAATCAAAAAGTTATTAAAACAATGTCAAACTTTCTACACAACATTAAAACAAGTATATGTATCAGAAAAAATTATAAAAATTAAGAAATCTCTCCTAGTCATTTTTGGCAAAATTTGACCAAAATCTCTGTGCTATAGTACAGTGACATTTGTTCAATTTTGGAGCAACTTTAAAAAACTGTAAAAATTCCAAACTTGATTGAAATCACTTCAAACTTTTAATACAACATAAGAACATGTATTATGTATCAGAAAACACTATAAAAATGGTAATTGATTTTTTTATGACTTGCCATCATTTTCAAAGGGTTGTAGCTGATGATCAAAGGTCCCTAGCGCTGGGTCTTCAGTCAGTAATTTGGCGTTTGTTTGGTACAATTCCTGGTCCTCTAATATTTGGTGCTTTGTTTGATGTTGCTTGTCTTCAATGGCAGGATCCCTGTGAAGGTGACAGAGGAAATTGTTGGATTCATAATGGAAGGGCTCTTGGTATCTACTCCCTCTCCTTTGGTATACCATGTTTAATAATAGCTACTGTATTATTCTTTTTATCATGGCTGACGTATCCAAAGGATAAGATTAAAAAAGTTGACAGTAAAAGCACCACTCCATCGAGTACAGTGTCAAGCACTCCTTCCAATAAGAAAAAGGAGAGCATTGTTGCACTCATTAAAGATTAATTTGATTAGTAGTTTGTGTAAAATTCATTGCTATATTTTTATTTAACTAATAATAATTATTATTGTGCATTTATTTTATGATTACTATTGACATTCTTCTCTGTTTTTTTAGTACATTAATTTTAATCATTGTAGGTGTGGTTCATCATATACCTATATTTAACCCTTTGTTTCCTAATTAAATATTCATACAAATATTCCTGCACACTACTGCATATGCTGCAGGCGCATTGCTCTAACTTCCTCTTGTAGTTTGTCTTGTTTTGGCTTCTTGTAATTGCTTCAGACTGTGCCTAGTCTAACTCTCTCTTCCTTTCTCTTTCTTTATCATGGAGGAAGAACAGTCTGACTTTGCCTTACCTAAAGAACCTTTACCAGGTGTGTTACCTCCTCCTCTTAAACCAGAGACAAAACCAGCCGACAGCTCTGAGCAAAGCCAGACTGAAGCAACAAGTGAAGAGGCTGTACCTCCAGAGCTGTCCAAGCTATATTACTTTGGATGTGGTCCGTGTCATCCAGCATTGTTCCAGCGGTTGTTTGCTAGAAAGAAGTTCTTCACATTCTTATTGTGCTGTTTTGCATTTCTGCAAGGAGCTATTGTATCTGGTAAGTACCTACATATATAGCTATATATATGTGTGTGTATGGTGTTTGCTCCTTTTAATGTAAGGAGGAGCTAGGTCCTTCTGTAAAAACACTCTTATACATTATCAACAGACTAGATCTATGCATAATCTATTAGATGACAATTATCTCCCACTTTGAGGTGAAACTAGGTCAAATGATGTGGATAATGATTCAACTCATTATTGTGATTGCTAACATTAGGTTGGAGTCCATGTACATATGTTCCCTCTTGCTTCCATTATAAGGACATGACTCATAATCAAAATATTTAATTATGAAATCTAATAATGCTTTATGAGTCCATATATGTATTGTACTGAATCTTGTCTTTGATATAGTCCAGGCTTCTGTTTGTGTTTAGATCAGTTAATGTTTAAAATCCATGGAATTGTGGTCAGAGTGTAATTAACTACTCTCTTTAGCACTGCATTCAACTAATTATTAGCATATTTTTATCTTTTTTGTACTTTTGGTCTTGTCACCTTGCATACCATCACCATTTATGTATTTCAAACATTTCCTACTCTTGCTATGTTACACACTCCACATTCTGTAATGACTCACTCCTGCATGGTCTATAGTAGTAATAGCTACTGCTGTTGGGTATTTGTGGTATTTGAAGAGGAGTGCTTGTGTTATTGATCAGAGCAGGAATGATATGATGATGGTGTAATGTAATCTCCTAAGAGGCACAGTTGTGTGTCTGTTCATGTAGGCAATAATCATTAATGGTCAATTTTAGTGCATTATATCCTTCAGCTTGTCTCAATTGCTATATTCACTGTCATTTCTTCTTCTAGGTTTCACATCAGTCATTTTATCCTCTATTCAAAAGAGATACAATTTCAATAGCACAGCTGCTGGCTTTGTTGCTGTATCTTATGATGCAAGTGTAACTTTGTCGGTTATTTTTATAAGTTATTTTGGAGGGAAGAGTCACAAGCCGAGGTGGATGGGTATCAGTCTCTTAGTCCTCAGTTTTGGTTGTTTCATATTTGCACTCCCTCAGTTTCTGTTTGGTGAATATGGCAGAGGCTCCCTGAGTAGTCTTTATGAAGGTTGTATGGATAACAGGAGTTTCATTGAGGACTGCTCACCATCTGATGCTGGGGCATATACTATGTTTGTCATTGGTAATATATTCATTGCTGTGGGAGCTGCTCCTCTTTTCACTGTTGGACAGGCTTACCTTGATGAGATTGTACTCCCCAAGTATCTATCAATACACATTGGAGTCTACCACACAATGTCTGTCCTTGGGCCTGCTTTTGGATACCTAGTTGGTAGCAGCCTGTTATCAGTGTATGTGGACCCGTGGGTTGAGACTACACTCGGTCCCGAAGACCCAGCTTGGGTAGGTGCTTGGTGGCTGTCTTTCATTCTAGCTGGTATCATGTGCATATTTCTTGCTGTACCATTCTTAATGTTCCCCCGATATCTACCAGACAGTGCTGAAGTTAGGAAGGAGAGAGCCAAAGAAATGGCAAAGATATATTCAAAGAAATTTGCAAATGAGGACACACTGACTGTTACTGTCAAGATGTTCCCTGTACATATAAAAAGACTACTCCTCAATCCTTCTTTTATGCTCTCTGCATTTGGCATTGCTTCTTTATTTGTAATGATTAGTGGTTTGGTGTCTTTTGCTCCAAAGTACCTGGAGACTCAGTTTAAACTGACAGCAACTGTTGCTGGCCTACTGGCTGGTGGTATTGGGATCACTAGTGCCAGTGAGTGTCCTCAGTAGTATTTATTTATTTTAATATTTGCTTCTCTCTTAGCTGTTGGTGTATTTACTGGGGCTTTGATACTTTTCCTTACTAAAATGAAAGCAAGATCCACCATGTTGTTTGTGACAATCCTCATTGCTGTTGTCATACCAGCCAATACTGCATTCCTCCTCCACTGCTCTCAGCCTGATATTGTTGGAATAACCTACGGAAGGTAGTATAATTATCCTATAGTTGATATGCTAATGTATTATATTGTTATATAGAGATGGTATTGATACTGAGGTATGTGCTCAAGAGTGTGATTGTATCTCAACATCATTTGAACCAGTTTGTGGTGAAGATGGACTCACTTACTTCTCTCCTTGCAGGGCTGGTTGTACCACTACTTTTAATGATGGAGTGAGTTAGCTCTACCAAATTTTAGTTATGAGAGAATTATTATTTTTGATGCGTATATTTAATAGGTATATTCATTTGGTAATTGTTCGTGTGTTTCGGTTAATTCAACAGTTGGTTCTGTTACTGATGGATTCTGTGAGACCAGCTGCAGTGCTCTCATTCCATTGGTAATCATACTGATCTTTGTTCTGTTTCTCGTGTTCATCACTCAAATACCATTCAACTATTACACAATGAGGTACTTATATTTCATGTTATATTTATCACATTTCTTTATGCACAGGGTTGTAGCTGATGATCAAAGGTCCCTAGCGCTGGGTCTTCAGTCTGCAATATGGCGTATTTTTGGTACCATTCCTGGTCCTCTAATATTTGGTGCTTTGTTTGATGTTGCTTGTCTTCAATGGCAGGATCCCTGTGAAGGTGACAGAGGAAATTGTTGGATTTATGACGGAGCCAATCTCAGCATATATGCCCTGTCCTTCTTCATCCCTTGCTCTCTATTGGCTACAGTGTTGTTCTTCTTAGCTTGGCTCACCTTCCCTAAGGACCAGCCTCCTAGCACTAGGGAAGACCTGGGCAGTGAGCGGAAGCCCAAGAAGCATAGCATGTTAGTTGTGCCACAGAGACCAGGCTCCATTAGGTTCAGTAGGCAGCATCATGCAAGCGAAAGTGAAGATGTCTTGCTCAATGGCACTTCTCCTAATGTCACAGTAACTCCTTCAGACGAATTGTTTGATAAAACTCTCAAACTTCCTTCCTCCTCAAATACTGCTGTCTAGAGACATATGTCGACCTTCAGTTTCAAACGAGCTATACAACCTCTGACTAATGTATTTTCTTAAAAACTTTTGTAAATGTAATGATGTACAAATTTTATACATCGATGGGTGGAATTTACACCCATTATTATTGTTAATGATATTCATTGTTTCATGCTAAAGCATCTTCCTTTGCGTGTTTACTGTTTGAACAAGAAGAAGGATATGGCTGATAACGTTCTTGGTGTGTGTGGTAGAACTCTCCTTGTCTTTATAAACCTGCTCTACCTGGTCAGTCCATTGCAGCCTTTACTGGCCCTAGCCTTGCGAGCCACTTTTGGTTATCTTGCTTCACCTCCTTAGGTTGTGTCTATTGTTCCGATTGGTGTGGGCATATTTCTTCTTGTTGAGGAGCAGACAGTTAACAATATTGCTGGAAAGAATCTTGTTGCTATTTCTGTCATAATACTGATAATTGGTGTCATTCTTTTCATAACAGCTGTCATTGCTATTCTTGGATCTGTAGCTAACTCAGCTTGTCTCCTATCATTGGTAAGTTTATTAACATGGATGATCTATACTTCTCAAATTCTTTGCTATATTCAATCCTAGTATTGCTTTCTTGTATTTCTGTTGATTGGAGCGGAGATTGTCACTGCTATAATGTCTTTTGTATTCTTGGGAAAAATAGTACGTTGAAGCCTAGCTGTATTGATTTATTGTTATTGCTGTCTGTGTATGTGTACAATAGCAAGATCAAGTTGATACACAGATACTGGTATACATCCAGAACTATACAACAACTACTACATCAGATCATTATAATAAAGGAGCTAACAAAGTGATTGATTTCATACAAAAATCAGTAAGAACAGGGATAGAATGAATCTCATTCATTATTATTATTATTACAGTTCAAGTGTTGTGGTCTCACTGGTCCTACAGACTGGCTGGTGTTCAATCCATTGTATGTAGCAGCTCATGGTGTACCAAAGAGCTGTCAATGCGATGAAGACAGTGACAAGTGTATCTCTGTCCCTTTGATTGACTTTAGTGTCTGGAAACAAGTATACATGATAGAGTCATGATATGTAGGGTCTACTGTTCCTTCAATAATAGGGCTGCAACGAAACCTTTTACGATTTTGTTCATAATAATGTACTGGCACTTGGAGGATCAGCTCTTTGTTTTTCTGCACTCCAGGTATTAATGTACAATATTTATTTATTTATTTCTTTTATTTGTTTCAGTTTTTTGTCCTATTGTTAAGTTGTGCCACGTGTTGTTGTGCGTTATCTGATGGAAGGAGGAGAGAGTATAGATATACCAGACTTGAGACTACCCCAACTGGCCCTGTCCTAAGAGAATATGTTGAAGAAAAGGAATCTGTAGTTGTTTGAGGAGACTTTTTAATTAACTTGTATTTAATAAACTGTACTAGTTATTAGTAGTTATAAACTTTTAGCCACACCTTTCGTTAATTGAAACAAAATGGCGGATGAGTCCTTAGGATGTTGTGGGATTTGTTCAAGAATTATCCTCGTCTGTGTCAACCTGTTCTACCTTGTATGCTAATTGCTGTATTGATATTATCCCATTGTTGCTTGTATTCAGGTTTTAGGCATTGGTTTGAGTGGTTTTGGTATATTATTAACAATATATCATAAATACTTGGACAGTTTAACACAAGAAGACTATACCCTGCCCTCCATTGCACTCATGATTGTAGGACTGGTTGTACTAATAATGTCAATTGTTGGAATAATTGGAGCAGCAACTGGAAACTGGTGTCTGTTGCTTTATGTGAGAATAATGATTAAAAAGAAGTTTCTTCAAAATTGGACCAAATTCCCTGTACTATAGTATGGAGATCTTATCAAAATTGAAAAGGATAAAATTCCTCAATTTTATTACATTTTGTAATACATATTGATGTCCTTATGCCATGTAGAAAGTTTGAGCTGGTTCCGACTTCAGTTTTCATGTTACAACCATTTTAAGAAAGCACAAAAATTTTTGAAAAATTCCCAAGGCTATAGCCCATGGTTTTTTCAAAAAATGGCTCCAAAATGACCCCAAATTTTTATTACATTTTCTGATACATATTGATGTCCTTATGCTATGTAGAAAGTTTGAGGTGATTTTGACAAAGAATTTTCAAGTTATGACCATTTTAAAAAACTGGCCAATTTTTAAAAAATACCCAAGGCTATAGCCCATGGTTTTTTTCAAAAAATGGCTCTGAAATCACCTCAAATTTTTATTACATTTTCTGATACACATTGATGTCCTTATGCCATGTAGAAAGTTTGAGCTGATTCCGACTTTAATTTCTCAAGTTATGGCCATTTCAAGAAAACGTCAAAATTAATCCCCAGGGATTTGGGCTAAATTTGAGGGACTTGAAAACTTGTAAAGAATTCAAATTTTATTGAAACGAACTTTAAGTTTCTACACACCACATAAGTACATGTACATGTACATGTATATGCATCAGAAATATCTTTAAAATGGAGAATTCTCTTCTTTTTATTTTTGGACAAAATTTGACCAAAATCCCTGTACTGTAGTATAGGGATTGTGTCCCGATTATTCACGAAAGACCCTTTTATGTAATATTTTGTGTTTTTGTTCCTATTTTGTAGTATTCTTTTTACATTGTTGGTCTGGTTGGTCTACTGATGGCTGGAGGGGTGTGGCTCATCAATCACAATAGTAGAATAGTAAGTAGAGGGTATATGGTTATTCTAATTAATGCCCACCACAGGAGAACAACATGAACAAGTCCTTCCACAATATGATTATGAATTACTCGTCAGATGATTCTGAGAATTATAATCCAACTATTAACACTGTTGTGGATTTTATACAACATACTGTATGTATGTTAGTATTGAATCCTTTAATGATCTGTACTATCATTATAGTTTGATTGTTGTGGTGATAAAAGTCCCTGGGATTGGTTGTTCCTTAACTCTCATTATGTTATCAAGAATGGACCACCTCCCAGTTGTATGTGTAACCAAGACACTGACGCAGGTCAAGACTCAAAGTGTCTTTTTTTTAAAGTTGATAATACTCGATTTTCTCTATTTGTTTGGAAAACGGTAAAGTATTATTGATTATTATTAATTATTATTAATTATGTTGGTCCAGGGCTGCAATGAAACTTTATATGGTGCATTTAATAACATCATCAATGGAATTGGAATCACTTTTGTGTCTCTATCTTCTTTTACTGTAAGAGAGAGAGAGAGAGAGGCTGTTAAAGTGAAGCTACGATTATTAATGTTAGGTTTTTATATTTTGCCTAAGTTGTGGCGTGTGCCTTTGTTCTGTCTGTGGAAGGAAGAGGCAGAGAAGAGTCTATCATTTTGAAACAACAGCAGCTGCTACTCCTTCAGCTCCCCCTCCTCAATATGGAAGCACTGATGATGTTAACCAGTTCCTAATCAATTAAACAGCAAATCAGTTAATGTATTTTGTATCATCAATTATCCAGTCTCTTGCAACTGTTTTTACATGAATATTAGATCTAATTAAAGTTATTAACTAGTTATTAACAATCAAAATGGCCTCCATTCCTCTGGCCCTTGAGTACAAGCGTTATGTCCTTTACTTGTGCCGTTGCTCTGGACTGGTTGGTATAGAGTCACTGTATTTCTGTAGACATTGTAAGCTCCTCAGGTGTATGGACTGTGTCTCCGTACAGATTGACGGGACCTGTATATCCTGTCCCTCCTGTAACGACTCTGTTCCACAAACTGATGCTAAAGCTAAGAAGTTCCGTTGTACCCATTGTTACCAGTGCCCGATGTGCACCACACCACTGGCCACCAGGTTTGTCCAGTTACCTCCTCCTCCTGGTAAATCTGAATCAGCCCCAGACACCTCTAGCGGTAAGACTGACGCCTCTCCTACTAAAGAAGGGACTGGTGAGTCTACTGCCCTCACTCCAAAGACAAGTAAAAGGTTGTCCCTCACTCCGTCCTCCTTAAAGAGCCCCGGCTCCACTAAAATGTACTACCTGTTCTGTACCAGCTGCCATTGGACCACACGAGAGGTTGATATACCTGACAAACGATCCCTGCTTGATTTTAAAGAAAAGCCACACCCATTCCAAGACCGTTACAAGGCACTGCTGTCGTATTATAAAGATCTTGACCTTTATGAGAGGGTTTCCTCACAGAATATGTCTCGGCAGGTATCTGGTCGTAAGCCACGCCCCTTTTCATCTCTCCTTGATACGAGTAAGTACAAGAAGGACCCCGAGGTCCAGCGTGTGGTGAAACAGGTTCAAAGTGTTGCTCTCTCAGCTAAGGATCCTGTTCGTCTTCCTGACAGCTATTACACTGAACCAGTTGATGTTTCCAGTTTGACGACCATTCAACAGAAACTGTTGGACCCCTCCCACCAGCCATCACATGTTAAGGATCTCTGGCCCCACCCACTTCCATTAATTAGTCGTAAAACCATCAGGTGTAGAGGGTGTGACCATATTCTGCTTAAACCAGATGTCAATGTTAACCTAGTTCGTTTTAAGATCCAACACGTAGCCATACAAGTGGTTCCACGCATCAGGTTGATAAATGTACCCAAACTAACACTTGGAGAACCTTCTCTCGTACCTGTTTCCATAACCAGTCCGGTCAGTTATAGCATGACCATTTCATTTAATCAGTTGTCCTCTTCTAAGAAACTCAAGGAAATACTCTGTCCAGCCGTCATTCCAGAAGGTTCTTTTGTCTTAAAATCTCTTGATGACACCAGTGATCTGTTAGATGATTCGAGTCAGTCTGTATCATTAGGAGCTGATCAAAGTGATTATGTATTGTCATCGGAACCAGGTCGAATTGTACTAAAGTTTGGAGCCATTCCTTCAAGAGAGGATATTGATGCTAAGATTGGGTTTGAAGTTGTCTTTAGCTATGAGCCACTCATTGAAGCAGACAGAGATCCAGGAGTTACTGAACTAACTGTGCCTGTCATTATCAACTGTGGACACTCTTTTGCCTAAGTAGCAGTATTATTATTATTATCATCATTATAATTATTATTAGTAACAGTGTTTCTTTGGTTGAAAAGTTAATTAGATTCATTGCTACTTGTCATGTAATGTTATGTAATTATTATTTATTAATTACTTTACAGTCAGCAGCCACACCTCCTTATCCAGCAGGTGAAAAATTCTCAATTTCAAGTATTCTTTTTGAGTTCATTCTTTTCCTACAGGCCCCGAGGAGCGAGAGGCCAGTGTTTAAGGATGGACGAAGAGGTGGGATGTACCACAGAGTCTCCTGTATTGTCTGACAGCAGCTCCAGTACCACTGGCCGCCGTATCTGCAGCGCTTGTTGGTTAACTGTTGTTCAGTTCTTCCTTCTACTCTGGAAGAACTTTATATTACAAGTATGTACCTGTCTTCATGCTCGTGTACGTGTATATTTGTGTTTCTGTTCAGATAAGGCGACCAGTTGGTACCATATTTGAAATCCTGGTACCAATATGTGCTGTAGCAGTTATTGTCGGGTTTAGGTTAGCAGTTCACACAATATTGATAGATACATGTACAGATGCACTGTGAAATAAGTCTGTCTCTATTAGAGGTCTCTGACTCTGTGTATTATTTATTTATTATATAACATTATGTAATGGTCATACCATGTTACTGTTCATTGATTTGAATAGAGTTAATTAATGTAAGCATCTCAATAATAATTAATTAATAATAATAACAATCAATAATAATTAATTGATACTGCCACAGGTTGGGGCTTTTCACAGCCGAGGACAGGTGTTTTGTAACATTTGAATCTGATCCACTAGTCATCCCTAACCTCAACAACATACAGTTTCCTTATAACGTCTATTATGCTCCAGCTGCTGGCAATAACTCAATAGGTACCATGTCATGTGTTCATTATTAATTATCATTATTAATATTAACGATCATTATTAATATTAACGATCATTATTAATATATTTATGTTATATCTAGTACAAAGTATAACTGCCATAATGGCTCCCAAGATAGCACTGTCTGGAGGTAACTTGATTGGAGTGGATACGGAAGAAGACTTCATAGCTGCCATTAGAAATGATAATTTAACCGAGAGATTCAGGGGATGCTTTCTGGAGGGGGCAGGTACCATAATATGAATTATTATTATTATTATTATTATTATCATTATTATTATAGAAGTAAATAGTTGTTATTATTATTATTATTATATCAATAGCGATATACTTCCATGACCCTATTAACAGTACTGATATTGAGTACTCCATACGACTGAGACAGAACCCAGCCCCTTCTGATACCTGGTTCACTGACTTTGTCTCAAGAAGGTTCCAACCGCGAGGCGCTAGGATCAGACCAAAGTAAAATTATTATTATTTTTATTGCCTTGTTAAATTTTTGTTTGTTATTTTGCTACTATTATTTATTTTCAGTTTCTATTTGAACGAGGGCTTTCTTCATTTACAAAAGATTGTAGATGAAGCTATTGTCGAACACACAACTGGGTTACCAGTCGACGTTAATGTGCAAGTCAGGGTGAGGTCATGGTTAAAAGGACGTAATGTCGTGTTTCAATTAAAAAATTTTTTTTTTCTATAGCAATTCCCCTACCCTCCTTACCGGAGAGATATCTTCCTGACTATTGTTGATTTCATTTTACCTTTGTTTGTCATTCTCTCATTCATTTATTCAGCTGGAGTATTTGTTAAGGTTAGCCACACCCACCAGCCAAAACCCATTGACCACACCCACTAATAATTAGGAGCTGGTACTGGAGAAGGAGACTCGTATAAGGGAGACTATGAAGATAATGGGTTTATCAAACTGGGTCCTCTGGACCTCATGGTTTACGAAACAGTTCCTGTTCTATCTCATACCAACAATCATCATGACTCTCATGCTAAGGGTTAGCCACACCCACTGTCACCATGGTTACTGATTCCTCCTGTAGTTTGCTACCGTGTTCCCCAAGAGCAATCCTTTCCTAGTCTTTGTGTATCTGTCAATGTACATGCTCTCGGGGATATCCTTCTGCTTCTTCATTAGGTTAGTGGCCACTGTATACATCATTAATGGTTCTTCTCTTCTTCCAGTGTTTGGTTCTCTACAGCAAGGATTGGTCTCATGGCTGGCTTCATCTGTTGGTTCGTGGCTTACTTTCCTTATTTGTTCATTGCACCAAACTACGAGTCTATTTCACTGTACGTTATTAATTTATTATTATTATTATTAATTAATACTTGTCCTTGGCTAGTGGTCCTAAGCTAGGTGTTTGTATAATACCTAATTCCTGTGTTGGATTTGGAGTGACTGTCCTCTCCATACTGGAGCTGAGACAAGAAGGACTCACTTTCTCTAACTTTGCCACTCCATTGTCCCTCGATGACCCCATCCACATGGGATGGATTGTTCTTATGCTGGCCATTGACACTTTTGTGTACATGCTGCTCTACTGGTAAGAGATGCTCATTTTACATGGACTGTATCTCAATGTGTACTGCATGTAGGTATATTGATGCTGTCAAACCAGGAGAGTATGGTGTCCCTAAACCATTCTATTTCCCTTTTCTTCCTTCATATTGGTGTGGAGTGAAAAGATCCAGAAATATTAAAGTAAAAATTAAATATTATTTATTATTGACTACGTTATTATATTCTAGTCTGAGGAGCTGTTGGGTGGATCTGATGAAGGTTTCAATCCTGAGGCTCACGAACCAGACCCTGTCAATATACCAGCTGGAATAGAAATTGAGAAATTAACAAAAATATACAACCAGAGGGTAACTAACATTAATTATTATTAATTATTATCGGTTGATATAGACACTCAGAAAGAGGAAAGTTGCTGTAGACCGTCTTTCCCTTAAAATGTATAAAGGACAGATCACTGCTCTCCTCGGCCACAATGGAGCAGGGAAGACCACCACAATGTCCATACTAACAGGACTCTTCCCTCCTACCTCTGGAGGCGCCTACATCAATGGGCTAAGTGTTGTGAGTGACATTGACATCATCAGACGTAACCTCGGGATATGCCCTCAACACAACGTCCTCTTTGATAGACTCACTGTCTCAGAGCACCTTCACTTCTTTGCTAGACTTAAGGTACTACTGTTGTTATTATTATTATTATTATTATTATTATTATTATTATTATTATTATTATTATTATTATTATTGTTATTATTGTTTGTTAAAGGGAGCTCCCAGTACTGGAATAAGCTCAGAAGTGGATACTTTGATTGATGATTTGTTACTGAAGGACAAGAGGCGTGTCAAGTCAATGAACCTCTCTGGAGGAATGAAGAGGAAGCTGAGTGTAGCTATTGCTCTGGTGGGTGGATCTGAAGTGGTTATATTGGATGAACCAACGAGTGGAATGGATCCTTACGCGAGGAGAGCTACCTGGGACCTACTGACCAAACACAAAGAAGGAAGAACCATTCTACTGACTACACACTTTATGTAAGTATAGATAGTAGGTGGTTTAGGAGTGGTTCATATGTGAGTGTGGTTTAGGGATGAAGCAGACCTGTTAGGTGACAGGATAGCGATAATGTCTGAGGGAAAGCTCAGGTGCAGTGGCAGTTCTTTGTTCCTTAAGAGCAGGTAATCTACTTGTACCTGGAGCCCCTCCCCATTTGCTTGTTTCCATAGATACGGAGTGGGCTACCACATGACAATGGTGAAAGGCAGTTCGTGTGATTCAGGTAGAGTGACCTCACTGGTAAAGGAGACAGTCTCTGGGGCAGAACAGGTCACTGATGTGGGGGCGGAACTCTCCTTCCTGCTACCAGCACAATCCACCCAACAATTCCCTGACCTTTTTGATATACTGGACAGTACGTCTATTGTAATATATAAACTGCATGTAATGTATAAAGTATGGGCTGTATCGTGTATTAATTGTTGTTAGGTCGTAAAGAGGAACTTGGTATCAACAGTTTTGGTGTTTCCGTGACAACAATGGAGGAAGTGTTTATTAGAGTGTCCTCAGGAACTGACGAAATATTATTAGACAACAAGAGGTGACTTAATTAATTAATTAATTGATTAATTAATTAATTATTCATTAGGTCAATGTCCCCAGTTCAGTCAAAACCGTTTGTTCGTCCAAAGGAAAATAATGAAACCGCATTTATAACGGATATAGAGGGTAATTCATTGATTGATTGATACTATTAATAATAATAATGAACAGATACTGACAATGTTAATGAGACCCAAACCGCTCAAGTTGTGTTTGCTAATGATGAAGCTGATGAAATAACACCAGCACCAACTCCAGCCCCACCCACAACCGGTCGGCCATCAATACTCCAATTAGCTGATGATACTGAGACTGCAATACATGGAGCTTATGGTTAGTATACTAGAATATACTAATAGTATACTGACTTACATTAGGTACTTTCAAGTCGTCATATGTGTCCCTCAACACTGGTTTCAAATTGTGGTGTCAGCAGTTTTGGGCGATATTTCTCAAACGATTTTACAACTCTCTTCGTTTCTGGGTAGCCATAATCTGGCAGCTGATAATTCCCCTCCTGTTTGTCCTCTGGGGCCTCATTCTTGGAGTTACTAACACTGGCTTTAATGCTGACGACCCCAGTAGGGTCCTCACCATTGAGAACTCTGCACTCTCTGACAACAGGACCTTCTTTTATGCTCAATTTGGAGACTCTTCTTTATTTAGTGTAAGTAATATTAATTAATTAATTAATTAATAATTTTATAGTCTAGAGATGTCGACATTTTGGGTCTAACGAGATATTCTGATATGACTGATATTATTAATGAGATGATTAATAGCACTGCATTAATTAACAGCAGTAATATTAATAATTGTTGTAACTATAAGTATCAATTACTGGACAAATACTGTGCCTCAAGAACTATGGTAAGTAGTAGACTGTATCTTTTATTATTACATTTCCTGATACATATACATGTTCTTATGTTGTGTAGAAAGTTTGAGCTGATCCCGATCAAGTTTGGATTTTATACGAATTTTTAAAGTTGCTCAAAATTTGGGCAAAAGTCCCTGTACTATAGTACAGGGATTTTGGCCGGAATTTGGCAAAAATGAAAAGTTTAAAATTCTAAATTTTTATTACATTTCCTGATACATATACATGTTCTTATGTTGTGTAGAAAGTTTGAGCTGATTCCGATCAAGTTTGGATTTTATACGAATTTTTAAAGTTGCTCCAAATTGGGTAAAAGTCTCTGTACTATAGTACGGGGATTTTGGCCGGAATTTGGCAAAAACGAAAAGTTTAAAATTCTAAATTTTTATTACATTTCCTGATACATATACATGTTCTTATGCTGTGTAGAAAGTTTGAGCTGATCCCGATCAAGTTTGGATTTTATACGAATTTTTAAAGTTGCTCCAAAATTGGGTAAAAGTCCCTGTACTATAGTACAGGGATTTTGGCCGGAATTTGGCAAAAATGAAAAGTTTAAAATTCTAAATTTTTATTACATTTCCTGATACATATACATGTTCTTATGTTGTGTAGAAAGTTTGAGCTGATTCCGATCAAGTTTGGATTTTATACGAATTTTTAAAGTTGCTCCAAAATTGGGCAAAAGTCCCTGTACTATAGTACAGGGATTTTGGCCGGATTTTGGTAAGAAAATGACCTGGGGGCTTTGCCCCCCAGGTCATTAATGAAAAGTTGAGTTTTCTAAATTTTTATAATTGCTTATATTATAATAATATTGACTAGTATTTATTTATTATGAAATTTTAAAGCTATGATGCATTACTAGTGTATATGTCAGTACATTTCAGTATATTTCTGTATACTATAGAGTCAATTAATGAGTGGTGGTTCTGTTTGTCCTTCTAACGAGGGTTTTGGTTACAGACCTTGTCCGGAGTGTCTCCAGTAATATTAATAAGTTATTTTATTGATATATTTACATATTGACCAGATGTTGCAGAGCTAAAGATTACAGTTACAGCATATCCACCTGCACTAATCCTTATGTTCAAGACACTGCCACTAGATCTGATACTTCAGCTAATGCCATTGCTACTGACTTCTGTCCCAGACCCCCTGCTGTCTCAATTGATGAAATGTTAAATCCTGTCCCTCCCACTGGCCCCCTTGATGATGTCAATGTGTTTGTGGCTGAGAGACTTTTGGATCTAAGCACTGAGATTGATGTGTATGACTTCAGTTTGAGATATCAAGTGAGACATTTACTATACGAATGTACAAGTACATGTACATGTATTTTTCCTTCAAAGGGAGGATTTGTACTACATTCCACTGGTCCTACTTATGCTACCTGTGGTTGTCAGAATGACACTGATGAAACTTGTTCATTTCTTTCTTATTCTCTTTCAACTAATTCAAGTTTCAATTCCTCCTCAAGGATCAACTCTTTGTCAGAATTGTGTTCAGCACTAGAGGCTGACCAGCCCTCCTGTGCTAATGCTGACTGGAATTACAATTACAATTATTTATCTGATGTCTGCAGTGCCAATGCTTCCTGTAGGGGTGTGTCTTTTGATTTCACTCAGTCTCCTGCTCAGTGTTCATGTACTGATCCTAATCAGTGCCAAATTGGACAAACTTCTCAAGCTCCACCTCCTTCAGACTCACCCCCTACTGTCACTGTCTGGTACAATAATCAAGTATGTTATCATCATCATCATCATCATCATCATTATTATTATTATTATTATTATTATTAGCCCTACCACATGGTGGCTGCAGCTCTTAATGGCTTTTATAACATTTACTTGAGAAGTCGTAATACAAACTTAACTGTCACTGTTCACAACAACCCACTGCCAAGAAATATTGACTCACAAGTAATGTCACACCTTTAATATTAATTAATTAATTAATTAATTTACAGATCACTGATGCTCAGCAAGAGTTTCTTGGATTCACAATCAGTTCAACTGCTGTCTTTGGACTCAGCTTTCTCTTTGCAAGTTTTGTGATATTTTTAGTTCAAGAAAGAGACACAAAAGTATATATAATAATAATAATAATAGATTAATATTGATATTATTTGTAGGCCAAGCACCTTCAGTTTGTAAGTGGAGTGTACCCGTCCTCCTATTGGCTGGCCACTTTCTGTTGGGATCTTTTGAATTCATTAATACCAGCTGTACTTACTGTCATACTCTTTGCTGCTTTTCAAATTGACGGATATAAAGGAGAAAATATAGGAGCCATTTTCCTACTAGTGGTATGTCAATATTAATTAAGTTATTATTATATTAACGATTCATTTCTAATCAGTTGCTAGGCTGCTGGGCGGCCATTCCTGTCAACTATGTAACTTCTTTTATATTCTCAAATGCTTTGGTCGGTTTCTGTTTGATGCTCGTATTCTTCTACTTTGGATCTCTCGTAAGACATCATGTACCAGTATACATGTACCAGTGTACCAATGTGCCAGTGTACCAATGTGCCAGTGTACCAATGTACCAGTGTACCAATGTGCCAGTGTACCAATGTGCCAGTGTACCAATGTGCCAGTGTACCAGTGTACCAGTGTACAATGGTACATTGTATGTATACATACATGCATGTATATGTTGTGTATCATTGATTTCTTCAGATATTTCAAGTTGTAGTCTTCCTGTTGGTTGCAGACTATCCCGACACTTCAGAGAATTTGAGTTACATATTCCTACTCCATCCAGCATATGCGTAAGATAATTAATTAATTAATTAATTATTTATTTATTTATTTATTGTGTAGGCTGGCCATTGGATTAGCTAACATGTATACAAATCAAGGAATCAAGAACACGTGTGAACAAACACCACAATCAAGAGCGTAAGAATCAACATTATTAATTAATTAATTAATTAATAATTAATAAATTATTAATTAATTAATTATTAATTAATTAGTATTTGTGAAGCAAGAGGTATAGAATATGCTGATTCAGTATTCCAGTTCTTGTCTCCTGGTATTGGACACATTTATTTATACATGGCACTGGAAGGAGTGTTCTTCTTACTGCTCGCTATCATCATTGAGGTACATGTACACTGTACATATACTTGTCCTTGTAGTGCTGTGCTGTGCTGTGTGTGTGTGTGTGTGAGAGAGAGAGAGAGGGTGAGGTTATGGTTTATTATGATTTTTTTTGTAGCGTAACTTTTTCATTCCTGAGCTTAAGAGATTTTTATTCTCAAGAAATAAAGTTGATTCTATTAATGATAATTATAATAATGATATGGAGATACAGGTCAATAATTACATGTATGAATTATTAATAATTATTAATAATTACAGGAGGACAGTGATGTAGTTGAAGAGAGAAATAAAGTTAATTCTCTCAAGAATTACTCGGAATCTGATGCTGTTGTCATAAAGAATCTTGTCAAAGTATGGCCTGATACCATACCATATACTACATTAATCATACTGTTAATGCCAAACTGCTATTATACCATATTATATATACTGCTGGTATACCATCATATTGTAGAGTAGCATGTTCTCTCTCTCTCTAGGAATACAAAGATGTATCAGCCACAGTCTGTTCATGTATTCCAAGGTGTCGGGAAGGTTGTAAATTAGCTGTAAGATCTATCAATGTCATTATACCTAACGGAGAATGTTTCGGACTCCTGGGGGTCAATGGGGCCGGTAAAACCACAACTTTTAAAATATTAACTGGAGACATAACGCCCTCTGGAGGCACTGCACTACTCAATGGTTATAATATAAGGTCAGTATATTATTAGGATATTATTAGTATATCAGTATATATTAATAGTACTCAGTTGAATGAAGTGCAGCAAAGGATCGGATACTGTCCTCAGTTTGATGCTCTCATTGAGCGAATGACTGGAAGAGAATTATTGACAATGTTTGCCAGATTAAGAGGAATACCTGAGCCAGCCATTAAAGGATGCGTTCAAACTGAAATTGAACGACTTGATCTAATTAAATATGCAAATAAGAGATGTGGGACTTACAGGTATGATATACTGAAGTATACTAAAGTATACTGATCATAGTGCAACTTTAAAATTTGTAAAAACTCCAGAATTAGCTCAAACTTCTTGTGCAACAGAAGTACATGTATACATATCAGAAAAAAAATGTAATCAAATTGAGATATTTTCTCCTTTATAATTTTGGTAAATTTGACCAAAAACCCTGCACTATAGTAGAGGGTTAAAAATGGAGAGTCTAATGTTATGTCCTTATTTTCCTTCATTCCTAGTGGCGGTAATAAAAGGAAGCTGAGTACAGCTGTGTCTTTGGTTGGGAGTCCTCCAATACTCCTCCTTGATGAACCCACCACTGGAATGGATCCTGCCACTAGGAGGTTCCTTTGGGACGTACTGACTGGAATTATTAGAGAAGGAAGGAGTGTCATCTTGACATCTCACAGGTAATGAATGAACGGATTAATAATGATAATAATACTAATAACCTTCATAGTATGGAAGAGTGCGAAGCTTTGTGTACCAGACTTGCTATAATGGTCAATGGTCAGTTTAAGTGTTTAGGGAGCATTCAGCACTTGAAGAGCAAGTAAGTGACTCTCTCTCTCTAACTTGAGTTGGTGTCTCCTTTAGATTTGGATCTGGATACACTTTACAAGTTAAGGTTCAGCCGTTAAGCTCAGAGTCTGAAGGTGTTAAAGGTTTCAATAGTCGTGTCTCATTCCGCCGGTCCCAGTCAAGGGAAGTTGCTTCACCTTCTCATTCGTCTGTGAACGTTTCCTATCGTGACACTCACACTGTGGAGCAATTCATTAATAAAACTTTCCCTGGATCTATACTGTTGGAACATCATCAGGTAACTATCAGGATATTATTAGTATACTACTAGTATATTGTTTGGATACGAATGGGATGTTATTTCTTATATATTAGAGTTCAGTGACTTATCAGATACCAGCTGAAGGAGTGAATTGGTCGTCTTTGTTTAGAAAAGTTGAAGAGAATAAAGAACAACTTGGAATAATAGACTACAGTGTCAGTCAAACCACACTTGATCAAGTAATTATATTATTATTATTATTATTATTTATTATTTTTGTTATTATTATTATTATTTATTATTTTTGTTTAGGTGTTTATTAATTTTGCTAAAGAGCAAGAGGAAGAGTCTTAACTGTTTTCCGTACTTCAGTATATTATTAGTATATCATTAGAATATTAGCTGCATCTGTCTGTTTGTATTAACTTCACTGGCTATTTATGAGTAACTATTTATTATAGTTAATTTTAGTTTAATGATAATTAGCCTCCTTGTACTTTCTCGTTACTCTAACTCTGACCAACAAATGTGACCATAATTGACAAAAGGTACCTTATGGTGGATAGGAAAATTGGTCTTTATAGCCTTAAAAATCTAACATTCTGAACTCCATTTATCATGAAATTACTCCAGAGGATGGAAAAAGTTACTATGTAACTTTTAGAAACAGTAGTTGTCTAATAGAGCACTCAAAGGTTCATATTTTTCATCATAATGATGAATTTTAAAATCCACCATAAGGTACGTTTTGTCAATTATGGTCACAAATAGTTGGTGTCTGGCTCTGTGGCTTAGTTGGTTAAAGCGCCTGTCTAGTAAACAGGAGATCACCGGTTCGAATCCGGTCAGGGCCTCTTTTTTTTCCTTTTTTTCACACTACAGTGAGTATTGTAAAAAGTGATTAGTAACAAAATTTAATAATCAATTCCTTCTATCAACATGCACAGTAACATCATCGTCAGTCCATTTATTTTCAGTTTCATTTTCAACAACACCTGCACTATTAGTACCTCTTTCAGACTGTGTGTGTAATACCTAATACATTAATAATTATTAATGAATACTGATCTGATAAATAATGGACTCACGTAAGCCATAAACTTGTTAATGTGGTCGTAGTATCCGTAACACATCCAGGTGCCATTGTGTGTGCCACTTTGGAATGTTTCAATGTATTTTAAAGGTGAACTGCAGGCCTGCAGTGGTTCAATGATAGGCATTAACAGAAAGAGAGAATGAGTGTGCGTGTACCTGGTATAACTCCATCATCATCTGAGGAGGAATCAACTGATCCATTAGACCAGAAAGAAATAAAGTAGGAGCTCTGACTTTCTTTATTTCATAATAACTTAAAAACTACACAAAAACAATATTTACAAATAAACAACAACAGTTACTTTGTTTTTGAAAAACAGGCGAGGAAGGGAGCTTGCTCCAGGGACCATGAGCTGAGCCATGTGAGGAATACTTGAAAATGTATTCTCGACAATTAAAGCCAAAATACTAACAATAACAACAAGATAAACAATTATTATTATTATTATTGTTCTTTACTCGTTGCAATATTTTGGTGAAGCAGCAAGGTATATGGCAACAGCTCCACCTAACGACCTTCCAAATAAAACTATTTTCCTTTGATTGATATCTCGTCTTGACATTACATACTCCATAGCCGCCTCAGCGTCCAAATACAAACCTAGCGTTACAATTAAAAGGAGGTGTGTCCAGTTATTAATTACTAACCAGATTCACTGGGTGACCCCCCACTCTTCCCGTAGCCCCTGTACTCCACCAGTAGTATGTTGAACCCACAGTGACGGTACAATACTTGGGCATTGTGTAATCTGTGACCAATGTTACCAGCGTTGCCATGGAAATACACCATAGTGGGGGAGGAAAGAGCCTTTTCGTTTGGTTGCTGTTTAATAAAATAACAAGAAATTTTCACACCATCCTTTGTTGTTAGGGACT